GTAGTCTATATATAGTAGAAATTTATTACTCACAGTTCTGGAGGCTGGGAAGTTAAAGGTCAAGGCACCAGCAGATTTAGTGTCTTGTAAGGGCTCTTTCCTTATACATGGTGCTTTCTCTCTATCCTCACGTGGTGGAAAGAGTGAACGAACTCCCTCAGGCCCCTTTTATAAGGATATTAATTCCTAATCACTTCCCAAAGATCCCACCTCTTAATACCATTACTCTAGTGGTTAGGTTTCAACACACAAATTTTGGGGCGATACATATATTCACACCATAGCAGTGTGTATTATCTGTATGAACTCATGGATTTCTGTTTTCTACCCCACTTTCCCCCAAGTGGTGTATAATTATTATCCTTATTTAGCTTGGTGGTGGATTATCCCAGATTTGGCCAGTTGGATCCTTTCAAGCTGACTAGGTGTGCCTGTGCCATATGTCCATTATTCTTTGGAGCATATCCTTACCTCTGGTATAACAAAATGTTCTAGGTTTATCACGCTTCCCCAGCCCTGCTTTCAGTCACTTCTCCAGGAACCCCTTGTTCCTTTTGGTGGGGAATAGTGTTAGAGATAAAAATCCATGCACTAGCTGTGCTATTTGCTCCTGGAATATCTCTGCTTCTATACCTTTTTAAGTGAACGGAGCCAGGAGATATATGCATGCATATACATATACTTACATACATGTAAATGCACATACATACACGATATGCACATATACATGTTTATACACATACATGTGCATATTTAGATATCATAAGGGAGCACCAATACTTCCAATTTCAATTCATCTTTTTTACCTTCCCCCATTCCATATTTGCATGTACCTTCTTTCACAGTGAGAGTCTTGGCTTCTAAAATCAATAGATTTACTCATTTGCTCAATCTCATAATATATCTAAAGTAGTTTCAGAATGACTTCACCCATATCTACAAAAATGCAAAGCTACTCAAAAGAGTTCAGGATCTCTAGTTTCCAGTTTTTCCATTTCCCTACCCTGTCCAAGACTGAGGGCTGTAGGATGTGCAGTCAAAACTGTTGTAAGTTACTCAAATTAGTTATTTTTTGCTCTCCATTTTAATTATAGTATTCATTTGAAATACAGTTGGGTTCATTGTTTCAGTTTCTCCCTTTCCTATCCTTGCTGTCTTAATTGTTTTGAATATGTCAAGCATTAACATGCTTTCAAAAGTCAAAACTTACAGAAAGGTATACTCAGAAAAGTATTCCTCCCTTCTACAGCCATGGCACTCTCATTACCTTCACCATTTGTAGGCAACCAACATACTAATAATTGTTTCTGGCTTTTCATTCTGGTGAATTTTTGGTAAATATAAAATATATGTATGTTTTCTTATTTTTCCTTCTTTCCTAAACAAAGATAGTGGTATTATATACAGTCTCTGGTGCTTTGGTTTTTCATTTATAAGATCTTTTGACCATCATTCCACATCAGTCCATAGAGAGCTTTCTCATTCTATGTTTACCATGACATAGTATCTATTGTGTGTTTGTACCAGAGTTTTTTCAACAATGTCCTATGATTAGACATATAGGCAATTTTAATATTTGCAATTACAAACTACTGCCACAATGAATGAACTTCTGCATATATATTTTTGTAGTTGTAAGACTATCTTTAGAATAAATTCCTAGAAGTGGGATGGTTGGGTTTAAGGACAAATGCATATGTAATTTTGGTTGCTGTTGTCCAATCCTCTTCTATGGAGATTGAATCATTTTGGATCCCCAACAGCAATGTATGAAAGTGCCTGTTTCCTCACAGCCTTAGCAATGAACTGTATTGTCACGCTTTTGGATTTTTCCCAATGGGACAGGTGAGAAGTGGTATCTCATTGTAGTTTTAGCTTGTGTCTACTATTATTAGTGAAGTGAAACATCTTTTCAAATGCTTGAGGACCATTTAAAACATCTTTTTGTGAGTTATCTACTTATATTTTTTGCCCATATGTCTATAGGATATTTTTCTCCTTTAATTTGTAAAAGTTTGTTTTTATATTAGGAATATTAATGCCTTATCTATGAGATATT